CCCCTAGTCCCTCCAGCCTCCAGTCCCCCCAGTCCCCCCAGTGCCCCCAGTCCCTCCCAGTGCCCCCAGTCCCTCCCAGTCCCTCCCAGTGCCCCCAGTCCCTCCCAGTGCCCCCAGTCCATTCCAGTGCCCCCAGTCCCTCCAGCCTCCAGTCCCCCCAGTCCCTCCCAGTCCCTCCCAGTGCCCCCAGTCCCTCCCAGTCCCTCCCAGTGCCCCCAGTCCATTCCAGTGCCCCCAGTCCCTCCAGCCTCCAGTGCCCCCAGTGCCCCCAGTCCCTCCCAGTCCCTCCAGCCTCCAGTCCCCCCAGTCACTCCCAGTCCCCCCAGTGCCCCCCAGTCTCCCCAGTGCCCCCAGTCCCTCCCAGTGCCCCCAGTCCCTCCAGCCTCCAGTCTCCCCAGTCCCTCCCAGTCCCCCCAGTGCCCCCAGTCCCTCCCAGTGCCCCCAGTCCCTCCAGCCTCCAGTCCCCCCAGTCCCTCCCAGTCCCTCCCAGTGCCCCCAGTCCCTCCCAGTGCCCCCAGTGCCCCCAGTCCCTCCCACTCCCCCCAGTCCCTCCAGCCTCCAGTCCCCCCAGTCCCTCCCAGTCCCTCCCAGTCCCTCCCAGTGCCCCCAGTCCCTCCCAGTCCCTCCCAGTGCCCCCAGTCCCTCCCAGTCCCCCCAGTCCCTCCCAGTGCCCCCAGTCCCTCCAGCCTCCAGTCCCCCCAGTCCCTCCCAGTCCCTCCCAGTGCCCCCAGTCCCTCCCAGTGCCCCCAGTGCCCCCAGTCCCTCCCAGTCCCCCCAGTCCCTCCAGCCTCCAGTCCCCCCAGTCCCTCCCAGTCCCCCCAGTGCCCCCCAGTCCTCCCAGTGCCCCCAGTCCATTCCAGTGCCCCCAGTCCCTCCAGCCTCCAATCCCCCTGGTCCCTCCCAGTCCCCCCAGTGCCCCCAGTCCATTCCAGTGCCCCCAGTCCCTCCCAGTGCCCCCAGTCCCTCCAGCCTCCAGTCCCCCTGGTCCCTCCCAGTCCCCCCAGTGCCCCCAGTCCATTCCAGTGCCCCCAGTCCCTCCCAGTGCCCCCAGTCCCTCCAGCCTCCAGTCCCCCTGGTCCCTCCCAGTCCCCCCAGTGCCCCCAGTCCATTCCAGTGCCCCCAGTCCCTCCAGCCTCCAATCCCCCCAGTCCCTCCCAGTGCCCCCAGTCCCTCCAGCCTCCAGTCCCCCTGGTCCCTCCCAGTCTCCCCAGTGCCCCCAGTCCCTCCCACTACCCCCAGTCCCTCCAGCCTCCAGTCCCCCCAGTCCCTCCCAGTCTCCCCAGTGCCCCCAGTGCTCACCGGGCACCGAGGCCCGTTTGGGCAGGATGGTGATGGCCCCGTGTGCCGCCTCCTCCAGGCCCTGCACCGGTGCCATCTTGGCCCCCCAACTGTCCGAGCCCACCCAGGAGAAGTGGCCTGAGAGGTTGGCCAGCGTGGCGGCCTCCAGCACCCGCCTGCGGGGACAGGCAAACTGGGCAAACTGGGAGGGACTGGGAGCACTGGGAGGGACTGGGGGCACTGGGAGGTAACTGGGAGGGAGTGGAACGGGTTGGGCGGCTACTGGGATGAACAGTGGAGGCTGCTGGGATGGACTGTGAAGGACTGGAAGGGAACGTGGATGGACTGAAAGGACTGGGAGGCCACTGGGTTGGACTGGGAGGGGACCTGACTAGACTGGGATGAACTGGGATGAACTCCAGTGGGCTGAGGAGCACTGGGGAGGGACTGGGGCAGGACTGGTGTGTACTGGGGCACACTGGTGTGCACTGGGGTGCACTGGTCTCACCGGATGTCGTCCTCGTTGGCAAAGAGCACGACCCCACGCGCAGTCGACGTCTCCATCAGGCGCCCGATGACCTTGGCAAACTCCCCCGGCTTCGGCTCCCGCGGGATCTTGATGGACTGGGCGATGCACAGGCCCCCTGCCCCAGTACAGACCAGTATAAACCAGTATGGACCAGATGGGGATCACCTTCCCTGTCCAGGCCTCAGAACCTCGCCCTTCCCTGCAGAGCTCACCCTCCCAGTACATCCCAGTATGGCCCAGTGCCCCTCCCAGCATAATCCAGTGCCCTCCCAGTGCTCCCAGTGCCCTCCCAGTATAACCCAGTACAGCCCACCGGCCTCGCGGGAGCTCTGCACGAAGGCCTCGACGCCGCTCTCGCCGTAGTTGCCCTCGGAGGCCAACGTGCTGACGTAGCTCCAGCCCAGCGCCCGCACCACGGCCACCATGGCCTGCGCCTGGTACGAGTCGGGCGGCACCACCCGCGAGAAGAACTCGTAACGCCCGGGGTCCGACAGCTCGGGGGCCGTGGAGGCGTAGCTGATCTGGGGGATCTGGGGACATTGGGGACATCACGGTGATGTCAGGGACAGGGGGGGTTTGGGGGCATCAAGGGGCCGTGGGGAGATGGGGGTGAAGGGCCGTGGGGGTGTCAGGGGGGAGTGTTGATGTAGGAAGGTCTGGGGGGACATTGGGGGCACTGGGGAGCGTGAGGGGACATGGAGGACAGAGGGGGTTCAGCCTGGGGCTGGGGACAAGGGGGACATCGGGGACATGCTGGGGGGGGCCCGGGGGACACCAGGGGACCTGGCACTGTGGGACCCCCCCCCTCGCTGTCCCTAATCCCCCCTAATCCCCCTGGGCCATTTGCTGCCGTCCCTGCGGATTGTGGGTAACACCCGTGGGGGGAGGAGGGGAAGGTTCTGGAAGGGAGGGGGGGCACAGAGGGGGGGCAGGTGTCCAGGCCCCCCCCCACCACAGGGAGAGGACACCATGAGGACACTGTGGGGACAACGCTGTCCCATGTCACCCCCACATTCCCTCAAACATCTTCAGTGTCCCCAACACCCCCCGTGATCACAAAGAGCCCCTGGACATTGGCCACCATGATGGACACGGAGCTGGCAGACACCAATGTCCCTCCATGTCCCCAGTGCCCCTCCATGTCCCCAATGTCCCTCCATGTCCCCAGTGCCCCTCCACATCCCAACGTCCCTTAGTATCCCCAACATCCCTCCATGTCCCCAACACCCCCAGATCCCCCATCTCACCGCGAACAGCCGCAGCACGTTGGCCACCATGATGGACACGGAGCTGGCGGACGCCCCGATGACCCCGACCAGGCGCTCTGGCGGGGGCCGGCGTGGGGCTGACCCATCGGGGCAGCTGCCCTCGCCCCCCTCGGGGGGCAGGAGGCTGCGCACGAAGCTCAGCGCCTGCTCCAGGGCGTAGGTGTCCCTGGAGCAGGTGTCCAGGATGCGGGCGCCCAGCGTCAGGTTGGGCAGCACCCGTGGGTCGCCGTTGACGCGGTCCAGCGCGTACAACATGGCCTCCAGCCGGTGGATGCCCTTCTCCTTCTTGACCGGCCCGCAGGGCACCCCGGCGGGGCCGCGGGCGTGCACCGGGAACAGCCCCCCCAGCGTCAGGTCGCCCTCCAGACGGATGGCGTGGGGCTGGGTGGGCGCCGGGGGGCAGCGGCACGGTGGGCACTGTGACAGCAGGGCCACCAGCAGGGCCACCAGCGGGGCCACCAGTGGGGCAGGCATGGTGGGCTGGGGGCAGAGAGCAGGGTTAGGGGGTGATAGGGGGCAGAGGTGGCTCCCTGTGGGGCAGGGTGGGTGCCAGGGGGGCACAGGGACAGCAGGGTCATTGCCGGGGGTCAGCAGAGTGGACAGTGGGGTGGCGTCCCATGGGGCAGGGGTCACTCCCTGTGGGGTGGGGTGGGCAGGAGGGGACAGAGAGGGGTTATGGGGGGGCACCCAGGGGGTGAGGGGTAGGGGATGGCACCCATTGGGGTGGGGGGACACCCTTTGGGGGTGGAGAGGGGGATAATGACACCCCATGAGGCAGGGACACCCCCAGTGTGGGGGGCAGCCCCCCATGGGGCAGAGGGATCTGTCCCCGCTCCGGAGGGAGGTTTGGGGGTCCCCAGCTCCCCCCAGTTTGGGGTCCCAGTGCCCCCACCCCGCTCACCTGGCCCGTGGGTGCTCCTGTCCCTGTGCAGCCGCTGGGGACTGGGTGCTCCTGTCCTGGCCCCCCCAGATCCCCCCAAATCCCCCCCAAATCCCCCCCTCGGGGTCCCTCCAGATGCTGATGGGAAAGGGAGGGGGAGGAGCCCCCCCCGCCCCATCCCGGCTTGGCCGAACTCCCGCAACCACCTGGGCCCCCCAATTAAACCAGATGATAATTACTGGGGGGTGTGAGGGGAATTAGGGGTACCCCCCTCCCCAAACACATCCCCAGGGGGTCCCAAGGTGGGGCTGACCCCTCGGGGGGTTTGGGGGGGCCGGGAGGGCCCTAATCCCCCCCAGCTGTCGGATTATGGGGGGAGGGTGGATAATCCACTGCTCATCTGCAGCCAGGACCCCCCCCAGGCCAGATGAGGGAGGGGGGACACGGGGGGGCTGATGGGGACTTTGGGGGGGCTCTGGGGATCTGAGGGGACTCTGGGAGGGTGAGGGGAATCCTGGGGGGCTGTGGGGACATTTGGGGGGCTGAGGGGGCCATGGAGAGGCACGGGGGGGGTCAGTGGGGGACATGGAGGGGGTGACCCAGGAGAGCTCTGAGGGGACAAGGAAGGGACACTGGGGGGGGTGTCAGTGGGTCTGGGGAGGGGTCAGTGGGTCCCGGGGGGGTCAATGGGTCCCGGGGGGGGGGTCAGTGGGTCCCGGGTGGGGTCAGTGGGTCCCGGGGGGCGGTCAATGGGTCCCGGGGGGGGGTCAGTGGGTCCCGGGGGGGTCAGTGGGTCCCGGGTGGGGTCAGTGGGTCTGGGGAAGGGTCAGTGGGTCCCAGGGGGGTCAATGGGTCCCGGGGAGGGTCAGTGGGTCCCAGGGTGGGGTCAGTGGGTCCCGGGGGCTTTCGGGGACCCCCGGGGCCTGTGGGGGGGGCATTGGGGGGGGTTTGAGGGGCCCCAGAGCGGGCGGAGCCTTTCCCGCCAAAACTCCGCCTCAGCCGTTCCCGCGCAAACCGCCGCCGCCAGGCCACGCCCCCACATTGAACCACGCCCCCTCCGTGTGTAACCACGCCCCCTCACGTAAACCCCGCCCCCTTAACAACGCCGCGCTCCTCCGCACTTTGCGGCTTTGTCGCGACTCCCCCGCCCCCTGCTGGCGGTGCTTTACGGCTGTGTTGGTGTTTTACGACAGCGGCCGGCCGCGTTCTGTGGGTGCGGGGGGGGCTCGGGGGGGCCCGGGGGGCGATTTTGGGGGTCCCGGGGGGAATTCGGGGGTGCGGCAGAGCCCGGAAAGGGGTGGGGGGGCCCTGGGGGTGGTCGCCTCCCTTTAACTCCCTCCTGCCCATCGCAGGGGCCATGGCTGGGGCCGAGCGGGACCCACACAGGAGGGGCGAGGAGGAGGAGGAGGAGGAAGAAGAGGAAGAAAAGGAGGAGGAAGAGGAAGAAAAGGAGGAGGAAGAAAAGGAGGAGGAAGAGGAGGGTCCCGAGACCCCCTCCGACCCCCCCCAAAGCCGGTGGTACCGGGGGTCCTTTATTTGTCCTTCCTCCCCCCGGGCTTCGGGCCCCGCCAGGCCCGGGCGCTGCTGCGGCCGCACGGGGAGCTGGGCAGGGTCTTCTTCCAGCCCCGCGGTGAGTCGGGGGGTCCCGGGGGGTCTGGGGGGAGGTCAGGGTCCCCCACAGAGCCCCAGCAATGGAGGAATGGGGGGGTCCCCACAGACCCCCTGCAGGTCCAGAATTGGGGGGTCAGGGCCTCTCCCAGCCCCGCTGACACCCACAGAGCGGTGGTGGTGGGGGGGGGGGTTCAGCACCCTTGGGTGGGGGGCTCAGCTCTCCCGGGGGGGTCTCCCCACCCTTTCTCAGCGCCGTTTCCCCGTTCCCGCAGGAGGCTCCGTGCGGCGGCGGCGGCAGCGCCCGGGAGGACCCCCGGCCGTGGCCTTCGCCGAGGGTTGGGTGGAATTTCGGGACAAACGCGCGGCCAAACGAGCGGCCAAAATCCTGCACGGGGCCCCCATGGCCCCCCGGCCCCGCAGCCCCTTCCGCCATCACTGCTGGAGCATCAAGGTGGGGCTCGGGGGCTCCTGGGGAGGGGTCCTGGCTGGTCCAGAACCGTGTTAGGGGGGCTTGGATCCCTTTTTGAGGGGTCTCAGACCTTTGGGTGCCCTGGGGGAGAGCAGGGGGGGCTCCTGTGGGTTGCTGGGACCCTTTATGGGTGAAGGGCTGGGGTAGTCCTGGGTCCCTTTTTGGGGTCCCCGACCTTGTGTCATTTGTAGGGACCACCTGGGTCCCTTTTTTTGGGGGTCCCAGGTTTGTAGGGAGCACCTGGGTCCCTTTTTTTGGGGGGTCCCAGGTTTGTAGGGAGCACCTGGGTCCCTTTTTGGGGTCCCCGACCATGTGTCATTTATAGGGGGCACCTGGGTCCCTTTTTTTGGGGGTCCCAGGTTTGTAGGGGGCACCTGGGTCCCTTTTTTTGGGGGTCCCAGGTTTGTAGGGAGCACCTGGGTCCCTTTTTGGGGGGTCTCAGCTGGTTTTGGCCCACTGGGGGCTCCTGTTTTAGGGTTCAGGGGGGTCCATGAGGAGGGGTTGGGCTGTTTGGGGACCCCTCCCACACCCTGGGCCAGCAGCTGGGGGGAGGTTTGAACACCCCAAAACCTTATTGGGGGGGGCGGTGTGAGATTGTTCGGGGGTCCCCTGACCTGTGCCCACCCCCCCAGTACCTGCCCGGGTTCCGGTGGCCTCACCTGAGCGAGCGGCTCAGCTACGAGCGGCAGGTGAGGGCGCAGCGCCTGCGGGCCGAGGTGGCCCAGGCCAAGCGGGAGGGGGGGTTCTACACCCGCCAGGCCTCCAAAGCCCCCCCAAAAACCTCCGGAGACCCCTCCGCCCCTCTGCCGACCTGGGGCTTCACCCAAAGACCCACCGAGGAGGAGATTTGGCGGCGCAAAGCTCGACCCCCGCCGGCCGCGCCCCCCATGCGGCTGCTGGAGAAGGTGTTCGGGGCGGGGAGGTGAGACCCTCCCTCGGATTTTGGGGGGGCTCAGGTGTCTGGGAAGGTCCCTTGGAACGTCGGGGATTCCGGATATCGATCCCATTCTCAAGGATCACGAAATGTTTTGTTTTTCTCCTTAAAACTTTTTATTACTTTTAACAAAAATAATTCCTCGCGGTCTCTTTAAATTCTGCCGAGGGGGCGGGGCCAAGGGGAGGGGGCGGGGTTATGGCTTCGGCGCGAAACTCCCTGAAGGCAGCGCGGGGGGCGGGGAGTGGGAGGGGCTTAAGCAGCGCAGGCCACGCCCCTTTACCATAAAAGGACGCGGCACAGGAAGCGACAGCAGGTGAAAGGTGCGTGTGGGCGGGGCCTAACCAGAGGGGCGGGGCGAAGGAAAGCCACGCCCCTCCCCGCGCCTCAATTAGGTCATTAAATCTCTACAAAGGGGAGGGCGGGGCTCTTAAAGGGGCCACGCCCCCGTTTCGGGGGGCGGTTCCAGTGTCAAAAATAGAAGCTCTGGGGGGTGGGGGAGGGGCCCCAGTATGGCACTGGGGAAATGGGAGAAGGAACAAACTCGGGGCCCCATAAACCTGATGTCCCCATAAACCTGGGGGGTGGGGGGCAAACCCCCCCAAAAACGGGTGCTGAGAACACCCCAATATCCCTGGGAAACCAAACGGGGGGAGTGGTGCCAAACTGGGGACTCCCCCCCTCAAAATGCCACTGCTGGGGTCCCTCAGCCTTGCTGTGTCACTGGGGGAGGGGCGACCTGACACTGTGCAGGGGGTCCCCAAAATCGGGGTGTCACCCCGGGGTCTCCCTGAAGCCCCACAGCGGGGTCCTGGAGCCCCCAAACCTGTGGGGCACCCCAGAATCTCCCAGTGACTCTGAGGGTTCAGGGGTGCCAGTCCCACCCAGGGGCCTCACCAGTGCCCCTCCCCCATCACACCCAAGGCTCCATCCCCAAATCCACTCCCCACCCCAAAGGTGCAACACCCCATCCCTCCTCCCCACCCCACATCCCCCAATTTTAGTGCCCCCCCCCACCTTTTAATTTCCTCATTTTCCCCTCCCAGTTTTCTTCCCCCCCAATTCCAGTTCAACCATCACTTCCCAAACCTCCCCACCCCCCAAATTTTGGTTCCTTTTCCATTTCCCTTCCCCCTCCCTATTTCCCTCCCATCAACATCCCCCTCCCCACATTTTTCACTCCCACCCCCCCAAATCCATCCCCTCCATTTGCTCCCCCCACCCCAAAATCCTCCCCCCTCCCTCCCTCAATGCCCCTCCCCCCCCAGCATCTGGCAGGGCCGGCAGCAGCGCCCCCCCCTCACCAGGACGTGGCATCGGGGGGCGGGGGGCCGGGCCGGGGGTCCCGGGGGTCCCGGGCAGGGCCCGTAGGCCTCGAGATCACAGAGCAGCTCCACCAGGTCCAGCACGGAGCGCAGGGGGGGTCGCCGGGCCAGCACCTCGTGCCCGGGGGGCACCGGGCGGCCGCGGGCCACCAGGACGCGGAAAGCCAAGCCCGGGTTGAGCAGCACGGCGGCCGCGGCCATGGAGGAGCGGGGACAGCGCTGAACCAGCCGCAGACCCCGCGCAGGGCACGGCCCGGGACCACCGTCAGCCCCCACCACGCCCCAGTGAGCCGGGAGGGGGATCTCGGCCAGTTCCTCCAGGAAGGAGCCGGGCCAGAGCTGTGGAGCGGGAGGCAGCGGGAAGGGCTGTGGGGGAGAAGGGGTTAATGGGGTGCACGCTTGGAGCCCCCCAAGAACTCCCCCAGACAGCAGGAAGCTCCTCCTTCCAAACCCTCCTGCTTCCAGAGGCTCCAAAAATCCCAAGGGGCATCTCCAGAGTCCCTTCCCCAACTCACCAGCCCCCCAAAAATGTTCCCACTCCTGAAAATTCCTCCCCCAAATTACAGGACCCCAAAAAGTCCCTTCCTGAACTCACCAGCCCCCCAAAAATCTCCCCCACTCCTGAAAATTCCTCCCCCAAATTACAGGACCCCAAAAACCTCCCGCTCCCAAAAGTCCCTTCCTGAACTCACCAGCTCCCCAAAAATGTCCCCCACTCCTGAAAATTCCTCCCCCAAATTACAGGACCCCAAAAAGTCCCTTCCTGAACTCACCAGCCCCCCAAAAATCTCCCCCACTCCTGAAAATTCCTCCCCCAAATTACAGGACCCCAAAAACCTCCCGCTCCCAAAAGTCCCTTCCTGAACTCACCAGGACCCAAAACTCCCTCTAAAGTTCCCATTTCTCAGAACCCTCCACCCAAATCCCCTCTAAAGGCCCCAGGACACCCCCAAATCCTTCTCAAGACCCCCCCAAAAACCCCCCAAGTTCCTCAGGACCCTCCCCAATTCCTCCAACCCCCCCTCTTCCTCACCACTCGGCTGCCGCCCTCCTCCTCCTCTTCCTCCTCCTCCTCCTCCTCGCTCTCGTCCAGCACCACCAGCTGGGCAGGGGGGGGCTGGGGGGGCACCTGGGGGTGAAGGCAGAGGCTCAGGACCCCCCCCCAAACCCCAGCGACCCCCCAGACCCCGGGGTCCCCCCCTTACCGGCACCAGGGACGCGCTGGGCTGGGGCTGCTCCTGCTTCACGCGGGGGGTGGCGGCGATCAGGACCCCCAAATCGCCCGGGGAGGGCTGGAAAAGGGGGGGCAGGGGCGTTATGGGGGTCCCAGACACCCCGAGGAGGCTCAGGGGGTGTTTGGGGTCCCACTCACCCTTTGGGGGGCAACGCTGGGCTCCGGGGGGGCCCCTTTGAGGCGAGGGGCCGAGGCGATGAGGAGCCCCAGGCGAGGGTCCTGGGGGGCAGGGGGGGTCACAGGGGGGTCCCAGGGGTCCAGGGAGGGTCCCAGGCAGCCGGGGGGTCTCACCTCGAGGCGGGGGAGGGGTCCTGCCTCCTCCTTGATGGGGCAGAGGCGCAGGGGGGGGCCCGGGATGGGCCCGGGGCTGTTCTCAGCCCCCCCCAGCGGCTCCTGCTTCTCCTGTGGGGGAGGGGCAGGTCAGGGCAGCCAGGTGAACCCCCCCAAATATCCAGGAGGGACCCCCTCATCCCCCCAAAAACAGAACCCAGGTGTCTGCAGAGGACCCCCACCCCCACCCCACTTCATCCCCTGTGGGGAAACTGAGGCACACACAAGCCTTGGGGGTCACAGGTGAGGGGACCGAGGCATCCGGGGGTCCCCAAAACTCCCCAAAGCCCCTTTGAGGGACACCTTGGTCCCCTCCCCCGACGCCTGGGTCCCCCCGAGGGGGGAGGGTCCAACAGAGCAAAGCAGCAAAGCAAGAGCAGCAAAGGGGGGGGTGGGGTGAGGGTCCCAAGGGGGTGGGAGGAGCATTTTGGGGGTGGGAGGAGCATTTTGGGGGCCCCCCTGAGCAGAGGGGGGGTCCCGTTACCTTGCGGGGGGGGCGGGGCAGGCGGCGGTGGCTCCGGGTGGCGGCACGGGGGGGCCGGGGGGACCAGCGGTGGCGGCGGGGCCTGGACGGGGGGAGGGGGCGGCCGCTCCAGGGGGACCCCCAGCGACCCCCCCCCACCGGCAGCAGCCGCCTCTGCGCCAGGAGAGAGACCTCAGAGCGGGTGGGGCGGTTCCAAGGGGAGGGGGATTTGGAGGGGGCACAAAGGCAGGGAGAACCCCCCCCCCAGGTGGGCCTGGCTGGCCGAGGGACCCCCACAACGCCCCCCAAAAGAGACCCAGGGTGAGCCCCCAAAGCCAAGCAATGCAGGAAGGACCCAGGCGTCCACACAACCCCCTCCCAGAAACAGGACTGAGACGTCCAGGTGCCACCTGGGCGCCGACCAACACCCCCTTCCCACCCCAAACTTGTCCATACTGGTCCAAACTGGGCTGCACCCAGCACCGGGGGATCCTGAACCTTGCGCGTGCCTCAGTTTCCCCAGCTGAAGGAGTCGGGTGGCTGAGGAAAGGGGTCAGAGGGGACGTCTGGGGCTCGCTGGGAGGTTACTGGGAGGAAGCACTGGGGGGGCACCCACCATGGCACAGCGCAGGCACTGCCTCCAGCGGCACTTCTGGCGCTTGAGGTTCTGCCCCCCGAATTTGGGCTTGTCCCGGCAGAAGTCGCAGCGGCCGCAGTCGGCCAGGCGCCGGCAGGCTGTGCACGCCCCGCAGCGCCGGCTGGCCCGGCTCCGCGCCCCCCGCTGCCGGCAGAGAGCCGCGTCACCCCCGCTGTCCCCGGGACCCGCCGTGGGGCGTCCCCAGGGCCCCCCCGGTGGCCTGCTGTTAGCGTGGGAGCGGCTATTAGGAGCGTTGCGGTAGATGCGGCGGTATTAGGGGTATTACGGCAGCCAGGCAGCAGCAGCGGTGGGTTAGCAGACATTCCGGTAGGAGCAGCTATTAGAGGCATTATGGTACCGAGCCCAGCTATTTGGGGCATTACGGTATGTGCACCCTGGTACTCGGGTCCTGCCATTACACCTGGAGCGGTTATTAGGAGGATTATGGTAACCAAACCCTGCTCTGAGGAGTTTGGGGATACCTGAACCCCATTATTTGGGGCGTTACGGTGCCCCAAGCCTATAGCCAGGGCTGCTCAGACCCCTCCATCAGCTATGAACAGTTTTTGAGGTGTCACAGTGGCCTGGCTCCAGCCTTAGAGGTATTACGGTTCTGCCACCCCGGTATCAGTGGGGTTTGAATGCGCTGAACCCCAATATTCAGCCTGGGATTCAGCATAGGATCATTACGGTACCTGCACCCCATTAATGCAGGTCCTGAGCCGCATTATTGGCTAGCACAGCCTTTAGGGGAATTACGGTATCTGCACCCCATTAATGCAGGTCCTGAGCCGCATTATTGGCTGGCACAGCCTTTAGGGGAATTACGGTATCCGCACCCCATTATTCTGGGTCCTGAACATCAGCACTAGGGGCTGGAACAGCCACTAGGATCATTACGGTACCTGCACCCCAATACTGCCCCTTTTACAGGCCCCTATATTAAGGACATTACGGTACCTGCACCCCAATACTGCCCCTTTTACGGGCCCCTGTATTAGGGACATTACGGCTTTTCCTGCCCCTAAGAGCTGCTCTGGGAGGGGCGTGGCCATGGTGGAGGGGCGGGGCTAAGAGACGGGGGCGGGGCTAAGAGACAGGGGGCGGGGCCAAGGGACAGGGGGCGGGGCCAAGGGCTGTCACTCACCCCGCGGGGCCCGGGGGCCTTCGGGGGTCGCCCCGGCTTCTTCTTCTCCTTGCCCTTGGTCAGCGGCTTCTGGGAGGGAGGGGGGGTTTGTGGGGGGGTTGGGGGCTCCAGGTGTGCCCAGGTGTGCCCAGGGGGGTCCCACTCACTCTGTGCCTGGCGCTGGAGGCGTCGCCGGGCTCCCGCTCCACCAGGGGCTTCCACTTCTGTGGGGAGAAATGGGGCTGAGTGGGGAGCACCTTGGGGTGCCCCCTCCCCCAGAACAGTCGGGGCTCCCCGCTGCGCCACCGCTCGGGGGTCCCGCACTCACCTCCGTCAGGGGTCGGGCGCTCTGCGGCTTCTTGGCCACCCTGGCTTTCTGTGGGGACACAGGGTTTGGGTCAGCAGGGGACAACGGCGTGGGGGGACACGCCAGGGTGACACCCCGAGAGTGGGGGGATGGCAGGGGTGGCACCGAGGGGACAGTCCCACCTTGGGGCGCAGGCAGCGGCGCCGCAGGCAGCGCCACTGGCGCTTGAGGCCGGGCTGCAGGCGCCGCAGGCAGATGCAGCAGCTGCCGCAGTCCTCGGTGCTCAGGCAGCCGGAGCAGGAGCCGCAGCCCAGACCCTGCGGGGACACCGGGCAGGACACCGGGGTTACCGGGAGAGCAGGGAAAACACGGGGTAACGTGGGGAAACGGGGGAAACAATGCAGGGAAACGGGGGAAACAATGGAGGGAAATGGGGAAACAATGCAGGGAAATGGGGAAACAACACAGGGAAATGGGGGAAAACAATGCAGGGAAATGGGGGAAACAATGCAGGGAAATGGGGGAAACAACGCAGGGGAACGGGAGAACAACGCAGGGAAACGGGAAAACAACGCAGGGAAACGGGGGAGAACAACACAGGGAAATGGGGGAAACAATGCAGGGAAACAGGGGAGAACAACACAGGGAAATGGGGGAAAATAACGCAGGGAAATGGGGGAAAATAATGCAGGGAAACGGGGGAAAGCAACACAGGGAAACGGGAAAACAACGCAGGGAAATGGGGGAAACAACGCAGGGAAACGGGGGAAAACAACGCAGGGAAATGGGGGAGAACAACACAGGGAAACGGGGGAGAACAACACAGGGAAATGGGGGAAAATAATGCAGGGAAACAGGGGAAAACAATGCAGGGAAACAGGGGAAACAACGCAGGGAAATGTGGGGAAATAACGCAGGGAAATGGGGGAGAACAACACAGGGAAATGGGGGAAAACAGCGCAGGGAAACGGGGGAAAACAATGCAGGGAAATGGGGGAGAACAACGCAGGGAAATGGGGGAAAATAATGCAGGGAAACGGGGGAGAAACAACGCAGGGAAATGGGGAAACAACGCAGGGAAATGGGGAAACAATACAGGGAAACGGGGGAGAACAACACAGGGAAATGGGGGAGAACAACGCAGGGAAACGGGGGAAACAATGCAGGGAAACAGGGGAAAACAACACAGGGAAACGGGGGAAAGCAACACAGGGAAACGGGGGAAACAACGCAGGGAAACGGGAACACAACACAGGGAAATGGGGGAAACAATGCAGGAAAATGGGGGAGAAAAACATGGGGAAACGGGGGAGAACAATGCAGGGAAATGGGGGAGAACAACGCAGGAAAATGGGGGAAAACAGCGCAGGGAAATGGGGGAAACAACGCAGGGAAACGGGAAAACAACACAGGGAAATGGGGGAGAACAACACGGGGAAACGGGGGAAAATATGGGAAAAGATGGGAGGAAAACACAGGGAAAAAACATGGAGAAAAAATCATGGCGGAAAAAAACACAGGGGAAAAAAAAAGGGAAAAGAACACATGGAAAAAACACAGAGGAAAACACGGGGGAAATATGGGGAAATACAGGGGGAAAGCACAGAGAAAAAACATGGAGAAAAAAACATGGGGAAAAAATACAGGGAAAACACCGGGAAAAAAACATGGGGGAAAACATGGGTGAAAAAACATGGGAGGAAATACAGGAAAATATGGGATAACAAACATGAGAAAATATGGGGAAAAAACACAGAGACAAAAACACGTGGAAAAAAACATGGGGGAAAAAACACGGAGGAAAAACCACAGGGAAATATGGGAAAACATGGGATAACAAACATGAGAAAATACGGGGAAAAAACACAGGAAAACACAGTAAACACGTGATAATATGGAATAATGTAGGAAAATATGGGGAAATATAGGAAAACATAGGAAAATATGGGATAAATATGGGATAAACTTGGGGGGATACAGGAGAACACAGGTGAATGTGCAGCCACAAAGGACAGAGGGACAGGGGGACGGGCCAGGAGCCCTCCAGGGGACATGGAATAACGTGGATAACAGGGATAGAGTGGAATAACACAAAATAACGTGAGATAACAGGAAAAACACGTGATAATATATAATAATGTGCGCAATCAGTAACACAGAGTAACAGTGATAACGTTAATTAACACACAATTAATGTTAATTAACACAGGTTAACGAGCAGTACCACAGACAACAGAGAGGACAAGAAGGTGACAAAGAAGTGACACAGGAGGTGGCAGTGACACAGGGAGAGGGAGGATTGTGGTGACATTGGGGGGTGACAGTGGGGGGTGTCAGTGCTGGTGTCACTGGGGGGGTGCTGGTGACACTGGGGAGAGTGACAGTGACATGCAGGGGTGGTGGTGACACTGAGGGGGTGCTGGTGACACCCAGGGGAGTGACAGTGAAAAGGGGGTGCTGGTGATACTGGAGGGGGTGATAGTGACGTGCAGGGGTGATGGTGACACTGAGGGGGTGCTGGTGGCACCCAGGGGGGTGACAGTGACAAGGGGGTGCTGGGGACATTGGGGGGGGCTGGTGACACTGGAGGGGGTGACAGTGAAAAGGGGGTGCTGGGGACACTGGGGGGGTGCTGGTGATACCTGGGGGGAGTGACAGTGAAAAGGGGGTGCTGGTGTCACTGGGGGGGTGCTGGTGACACCCAGGGGGGTGACAGTGACAAGGGGGTGCCGGTACCTTCTTGACGATGCGCAGGCAGCGGCGCAGGAGGCACTTGGGGGTCCGGCCGGGCCCGGAGGGGCCCCCGGGGGGGTTGCGGGCGCAGGCGCTGCAGATCCCGCAGTCCTCAGGGATGCGACAGGCCTGGCACGTGCCGCAGCCCACCCGCTGTGGGGAGGGGGTGTCAGGGCTCTGGGGGGGCCCCCCAAACCCCCTGAGGGATCTGGGGAACGCCCAGGGGCACCATTTCCCCCCCCTGAGGGATTGGGGTACCTTGTAGAATCGCTGCTCCCGGTTGAAGTCTCGTCTCTGGGCTGGGGGAGGTGGAGGAAGGGGGTCAGGGTCACCCCAGCTTTCCTGGGATCCCCCCTAACCCCACTCCCAAACTTCTTCAGGCTCCATTCCCCACCAAAATGGTCCAAAAGAGAGGGAAAGGGAGGCAAGGAAGAATCAGGGAAGAGGAGGAGGAACAGGAAGTTCCAGGGGAATAAAATGATAATTACAGGGTTGGAGCAATTCGAGGAATGATGATGATGATGATGGAGAGGGAAAACCCCAGGGAATGAAGGACAGGGATAAAAAGAAAATGAGGAAGAGAATAAAACAGAAAAAGCTCTGAGAGAGCTGAGGAAGGTGGGAGAAGGACTCAGAGAACGAGGAGGAGCATGCAGAGGATGAGGAGGAGGACGCTGAGGCCGAAGCTCACCACGGCACTCGGGGCAGAGCCAGCGGCAGCGGCGCTGGGGGGGCAGTGACACCCCCGGGAAGAGGCTCTGGCAGCCGGCACAAAGCCTGTGGAGGAGGGGGCAGCATTTTGGGGGGAGCCAAAGGAACCCCAACACCCCCACTGCCCCCCAGCATCCCACAGCCCCCCGGGGGGAACCCCTCTACTCTGAATTTCCTCACATGAACCCCCCCAAACTCCCCCCAGGGGTTCCAATTCCTCCCTCCTGGGGTCACCCCCTGCTCCTGGGACCCCCTCCCCCCACACACATCTGGGGGACCCCCCAGCCCCCTGGAGGGAACCCCCCAAACTCCCCCCAGGGGTTCCAATCCCTCCCTCCTGGGGTCACCCCCTGCTCCTGGGACCCCCTCCCCACACCAAGAGTTCCAGGGGACCCCCTCCCCACACACACACACCTGGGGGACCCCACAGCCCCCTGGAGGGAACCCCCCCAAACTCCCCCCAGGGGTTCCAATCCCTCCCTCCTGGGGTCACCCCCTGCTCCTGGGACCCCCTCCCCACACCAAAAGTTCCAGGGGACCCCCCCCCCTCCCACACACACACCCGGGGGACCCCACAGCCCCCTGGAGGGAACCCCCCAAACTCCGCCCAGGGGTTCCAATCCCTCCCTCCTGGGGTCACCCCCTGCTCCTGGGACCCCCTCCCCACACCAAGAGTTCCAGGGGACCCCCTCCCCACACACACACACCTGGGGGACCCCCCAGCCCCCCAGGACCACCCCCCTGCCCCACTCACGCCACCACCCCATCCTGGGTGGGCTCCAGGGGCGGCCGCTTCCGGGTCCTGCGGTGGGGGGGCTCCGGTGGGGGCGTGGCCACGGCCGAAGGGGGCGTGGCATCGATCAGAGGAGGCGTGTCCTGGAGAGCAGGGGGCGTGGTCTGGACGGCGATGGGCGGGGCCTGGACTGGTGAGGGCGGGGCCTTCTCGGTCTCGGCCCCGCCCACCTCCACCTCCACCTCCACCTCCTCTTCCTCCTCCTCCTTTTTGAAGATTTTGGGGGGCTCCGGGAGGGGCCCGGCGGGCTGGTGCCATTTCGGGCTCTTCCTGGGCTGAAAGGCACAGAAACGGTCACAAGATGAAAGGACAATCCCTTGTGACCCCTCCCTCCCAATCCAAACCCTCATTACTGCTCCTCCCCAATTAAAGGACCTCTTATTTCCCACCCACCCCCAAATTTAGATTGATCTCAACCTCATTTCCCTCATTTTGAGGAGCCCCTTTTATCCCATCTCTTTATTCCACCCCCGTTCTTTTCCTGTTATGGGGTTCCCCCCTCAGGAAAGCTCCAGGCTTCCCTCCCCAAAGGTTTTTGGGATTTTTGTGCCCCCTCCCGTGGGTTTTGGGGTCCCATCCCCCATACCCGCGTGGGGCCAGGCCGCTCCAGCCCCGATTTGAAGTCGAAGTTGCTCAGGTCGTGCCCGGGGCCCAGGAACCGCCGCAGCTCGATCTTACTGCGGAACTTCTGCCCTGTGGGGCTGCCGGGGAACTCGGGTCAGACAGGCCCCAAAACCCCCAGGAATGACCCCAAAATCCCAGGGGGGTCGCTGAGCCTGGGGGAGCCCCCAAATGCCAAAGGGAGAATGGGAAATGGGGACCAAACAGAGCGCAGGGGACCCCAAAACTCCCCTGTGATCTCAAAAAGGCCCCCCCGAGCCCCAGAATAGCCTGGAAAACTTGGAGGGGACGGGAATATTTGGGGAAAGGGGCACTGAAGTGGCTGTGGGAGCTCCTGGAGGGGGAGAGGGGCTCTGAAATCCCCCATGAAACACCAGCGGGGGTCGGGGGGAAGCCCCCAAAGGGACACGGGACAGGGTCTAGGATGGGAGGAGGGAGAAGGGGCAGCACCCGCAGTCCCGTGGGGTGGGCGGGGGGCGCTGGGGGTTTTTGGGGAGGGGTACCTCCTGTAGTAGGTGTCGCTGCGGCCGCTGGTGGCTCCGGATTTCCGAAAAGCTTCGCGGCGCTGCCAGCCCGGCCCCAGCGCCGGGCACTCGGCCCAGCCCTCCGCCATCCTGCGGGGGGGCTGAGACCCCCGGGAATGGGGTGGGGAGGGGGTCACGACCGGCCCCGACAGCCCAAAAAGCCCCGGACCCCTCCCCCAAACACAGCCCCGAGCCCGCAAGGACACCCCAAAACTGCCCCGGAGTTCCGCCCGCGCCCCAAACTGCCCCTCCCCCTCACAAACAACCCCAAAACCGCCCCTTCCCCTCACAAACAACCCTAAGCTGCGCCTCCCCCTCCCCAAAAAACCCTGAACTGCCGCTCCCCCTACCCAAAAAAACCCTGAACTGCCCCTTCCCCGTCACAAACTGCCCCTCCTGCCCCCCAAAAAACCCCTGAACTGCCCCTCCCCCTCACAAACTGCCACAAAACTGCCCCTCCCCTTCACAAACAACCTCTGAACTGCCCCTTCCCCTCACAAACTGCCACAAAACTGCCCCTTCCCCTCACAAACTGCCCCTTCCCCTCACAAACCGCCCCAAACTCCCCCTCCCAGCCCCCTCCTCACGCTCCTTCCCCCACACGAACCCCCCCGCCGCCCCCCTCACGGCCGCCCTTCCCCACCGGCCTCGGCTCCCCGCCGCGGCCCCGCAGCCCGCCGGGCTCTCACCGTTCCCATCCGCCCCCGCCTGTGGCGCAGCTCTTCCTCTTCCTCCTCCTCTTCCTCCTCCTCTTCCTCCTCCTCTTCCTCCTCCTCTTCCTCCTCCTCTTCCTCCTCCTCTTCCTCCTCCTCTTCCTCCTCCTCCTCCTCCGGTGAGGCCGCGGGGGGCGGAGGGGGCGGGGCCCCGCGCCGGAAGCGGAAACGCCGGGCGGGAAAAGCAAGGGGCAACGGGGTGCGGGTCACGTGATCCGGAGTAAACCAATGAGAACAGGCAGAGCCAAAGAGGGGCGGGGATATGTTAATGAAGCGGTTTGTGGGCGTGGTTATGCTAATGAGCCAGGAGCGTTCACCTCGGGCTCATTGGGGCCCTTTTCTCTGCCCAGGACCCCCCCCAAAAGGACCCCCAAAAACCACCAGGGACACCTCCCACCCTCCCCACGGATGCTGCTCCCATTTCCCCCCAGGACCCCCCAAAAGGAACCCCCAAAAAACACCAGGGACACCTCCCACCCTCCCCACGGATGCTGCTCCCATTTCCCCCCAGGACCCCTCCAAAGGACCCCCAAAAGCACCAGGGACCCCTTCAATCCCCCCATGGATGCTGCTCCCATTTCCCCCCAGGACCCCTCCAAAGGACCCCCAAAACCCACCAGGGACACCTCCCACCCTCCCCATGGATGCTGCTCCCATTTCCCCCCAGGACCCCCCCAAAGGACCCCCCCAAAAGCGCCAGGGACCCCTCAATCCCCCCGTGGGTGCTGCTCCCATTTCCCCCCAGGACCCCTCCAAAGGACCCCCCAAAAGCGCCAGGGACCCCTCCCACCCTCCCCACGGATGCTGCTCCCATTTCCCCCCAGGACCCCCCAAAAGCGCCAGGGACCCCTCAATCCCCCCATGGATGCTGCTCCTATTTCCACCTCTCCCACCCCCTAAGGACCCCCCAACCTCCTCAGGACCCCCCCAGCTGCACCAGGGCCAGCGAAGGGACCCCCATGGCCTCTGCAGGGTCTGTGGTGGTACCAGAACCCAGGGCCTCCTGAAATCCCCCCAAAAGGGACCCCCAGGATCCCAGAGACCGCACAGGAGCCCCCCTATATCCCACCGACACCCCAGGGACACCCCCAGACTCATTTTGCACACCCGGTTTATTTGGGGATGGGGGAGCACCCAGGAATCAGGGAGGGGGGGATGTGGGGAGGGGTGTGGGGGGGTTTTGGGGCTCTGGGGGCAGTCAGCGGTCCGAGGCAGGCCCGTGGTCAGCGGTCCGAGCGCAGGTCCGTGGTCAGCGGTCCGAGCCAGGCCCGTGGTCAGCGGTCCGAGCCAGGCCCGTGGTCAGCGGTCCGAGGCAGGTCCGTGGTCAGCGGTCCGAGCCAGGCCCGTGGTCAGCGGTCCGAGCCAGGCCCGTGGTCAGCGGTCCGAGGCAGGTCCGTGGTCAGCGGTCCGAGGCAGGCCCGTGGTCAGCGGTCCGAGCCAGGTCTGTGGTCAGCGGTCCGAGCGCAGGTCCGTGGTCAGCGGTCCGAGGCAGGCCCGTGGTCAGCGGTCCGAGCCAGGCCCGTGGTCAGCGGTCCGAGCGCAGGTCCGTGGTCAGCGGGTCGTGCTGGATCGTCTGGTGCAGCATCAGCGCCAGCAGCCCCGCACGGTTGGTCATGGCCGCCCGCACGTTGCGCTCCTGCTCGAACAGCTCGTCCAGCTTGTACCACTGCGGGGGACAGGGACAGCGTGGGGACAGTGTGGGGACAGTGTGGGGACAGTGTGGGGACAGTGTGGGGACAGTGTGGGGACAGGTACAGAGTAGGGACAGCGACAGTGTGGGGACAGGGACAGCGTGGGGACAGGAACAGTGTGGGGAAAGGGACAGTGTGGGGACAGTGTGGGGACAGGGACAGCATGGGGACAGCGTGGGGACAGTGTGGGGACAGGGACAGCGTGGGGACAGTGTGGGGACAGTGTGGGGACAGGGACAGCGTGGGGACAGGGACAGTGTGGGGACAGGGACAGTGTGGGGACAGTGTGGGGACAGGGACAGTGTGGGGACAGTGTGGGGACAGGGACAGTGTGGGGACAGGGACAGCGTGGGGACAGCGTGGGGACAGTGTGGGGACAGCGTGGGGACAGGAACAGTGTGGGGACAGTGTGGGGACAGTGTGGGGACAGGGACGGCGTGGGGACAGTGTGGGGACAGGGACAGCGTGGGGACAGGAATAGTGTGGGGACAGGAACAGTGTGGGGACAGTGTGGGGACAGTGTGGGGACAGGGACAGCGTGGGGACAGTGTGGGGACAGTGTGGGGACAGCGTGGGGACAGGGACAGCGTGGGGACAGGGACAGTGTGGGGACAGTGTGGGGACAGGGACAGCATGGGGACAGTGTGGGGACAGTGTGGGGACAGGGACATTGTGGGGACAGTGTGGGGACAGCGTGGGGACAGGGACAGCGTGGGAACAGGGACAGCGTGGGGACAGGGACAGCGTGGGGACAGGGACAGTGTGGGGACAGTGTGGGGACAGTGTGGGGACAGGGACAGCGTGGGGACAGGGACAGTGTGGGGACAGCATGGGGACAGTGTGGGGACAGGGACAGCGTGGAGACAGGGACAGTGTGGGGACAGCATGGGGACAGGGACAGTGTGGGGACAGTGTGGGGACAGTGTGGGGACAGTGTGGGGACAGCGTGGGGACAGGGACAGTGTGGGGACAGGGACAGTGTGGGGACAGGGACAGCGTGGGGACAGTGTGGGGACAGGGACAGCGTGGGGACAGGGACAGTGTGGGGACAGTGTGGGGACAGTGTGGGGACAGTGTGGGGACAGCGTGGGGACAGGGACAGTGTGGGGACAGTGACAGCATGGGGACAGGGTGACGACAGCGTGGGGACAGGGACACGGACACTGTGAGCACAGCGGGGGGACAGCGACAGTGTGGGGACACTTTGGGGACACTCTGGGGACACCGGGCGGTGGCACCCACCACGCGGACGCGCTCCAGGTCCACCTCGGCGCGGCGCAGCTTCTCCCAGCAGTAGTGACGGTGGCACTTGCGCTTGGGGACGCGGCAGAAGTCCCCGGTCAGCTCGAAGACGTCGCGCACCAGCGGGCACCCGCACACCTCATCCGCGGGCACCTGGGCGGGCACGGGGTCAGCGCTGGGCTGGGGACACCCAGAGCCCCTCTGCCACCTCCACGGCCACCCTGGGCCGTGTCCTGTCCCCTCACGTCCACTTTGGTGTCCTGGGATTGTCCTGGCCTTCCCTGTGCCCACTTTGGAGTCTGGGAGTGTTCAAGGCACAGATCCCCTAAATTCCACCCCAAAATTTCATTCTGTGCCCACCTTGGGGTCTGGGAGCTCTCAGGGCACAGATCCCCTAAATTCCACCCCAAAATTTCATTCCGTGCCCACCTTGGGGTCTGGGAGTGTTCGGGGCATAGATCCCCTAAATTCCACCCCAAAATTTCATTCTGTGCCCACTTTGGGGTCCCAGGACTGTCCTGGCACTTCCCCTGTTCCCCAAAGCCCCCCCTGTGCCCACCTTGGAGTCTGGGAGTGTTCAAGGCACAGATCCCCTAAATTCCACCCCAAAATTTCATTCTGTGCCCACCTTGGGGTCTGGGAGCGCTCGGGGCACAGATCCCCTAAATTCCACCCCAAAATTTCATTCTGTGCCCACCTTGGGGTCTGGGAGCTCTCAGGGCATAGATCCCCTAAATTCCACCCCAAAATTTCATTCTGTGCCCACTTTGGGGTCCCAGGACAGTCCTGGCACTGCCCCTGTTCCCCAAAGCCCCCCCTGTGCCCACCTTGGGGTCTGGGAGCTCTCGGGGCATAGATCCCCTAAATTCCACCCCAAAGTTTCATTCTGTGCCCACCTTGGGGTCTGGGAGATCTCGGGGCATAGATCCCCTAAATTCCACCCCAAAATTTCATTCCGTGCCCACTTTGGGGTCCCAGGACTGTCCTGGGCACTGCCCCTGTTCCCCAAAGCCCCCCCTGTGCCCACTTTGGAGTCTGGGAGTGTTCAAGGCACAGATCCCCTAAATTCCACCCCAAAATTCCATTCCGTGCCCACCTTGGGGTCTGGGAGCGCTCAGGGCACAGATCCCCTAAATTCCACCCCAAAATTTAATTCCGTGCCCACCTTGGGGTCCCGGGAGTGCTCAGGGCATAGATCCCCTAAATTCCACCCCAAAATTTCATTCCGTGCCCACCTTGGGGTCTGGGAGTGTTCAAGGCACAGATCTCCTAAATTCCACCCCAAAATTTCACTCTGTGCCCACCTTGGAGTCCCAGGACTGTCCTGGGCACTACCCCTATTCCCCAAAGCCCCCCCTGTGCCCACCTTGGGGTCTGGGAGCTCTCAGGGCATAGATCCCCTAAATTCCACCCCAAAATTTCACTCTGTGCCCACCTTGGAGTCCCAGGACTGTCCTGGCACTGCCCCTATTCCCCAAAGCCCCCCCTGTGCCCACCTTGGGGTCTGGGAGTGTTCAAGGCACAGATCCCCTAAATTCCACCCCAAAATTTCATTCTGTGCCCACCTTGGGGTCTGGGAGTGTTCAGGGCACAGATCCCCTAAATTCCACCCCAAAATTTCACTCTGTGCTCACCTTGGGGTCCCGGGAGTGCTCGGGGCACAGATCCCCTAAATTCCACCCCAAAATTTCATTCTGTGCCCACTTTGGGGTCCCAGGACAGTCCTGGGCACTGCCCCTGTTCCCCAAAACCTCACTCTGTGCCCACCTTGGGGTCCCGGGAGTGCTCGGGGCACAGATCCCCTAAATTCCACCCCAAAATTTCATTCTGTGCCCACTTTGGGGTCTGGGAGTGCTCAGGGCACAAATTCCCTAAATTCCACCCCAAAACCTCACTGTGCCCACCTTGGGGTCCCGGGAGTCCCCAGGGCACAGATCCCCTAAATTCCACCCCAAAATTTCATTCTGTGCCCACCTTGGGGTCCCGGGAGTGCTCAGGGCACAGATTCCCTAAATTCCACCCCAAAATTTCACTCTGTGCCCACCTTGGGATCTGGGAGTGTTTGGGGCACAGATCCCCTAAATTCCACCCCAAAATTTCATTCTGTGCCCACTTTGGGGTCCCAGGACTGTCCTGGCACTGC